TGTACAAACTAAATATTCATATGAATTCCGCTGAAAAATCACAGTCGCTGTGAAAATAAAAAGGCTTTCACGTAAACAGAGTTTGACGAAGGTACCAATGCAATACCGAGCTGTGCACACAAAGGTAGCTTCGCATTCCCTTTATTTTTCAAAGCTATGCGGATGTCTCCTTTGTCACTACGGAGTAAACAAGCCCAATGATTGATAGTCGGCTGTAGGTCTATTGTTTAAGGTTTATAGGAAAATGGAGGGAAGCATGTCTCTTGAGTTATTGATTGATTACTCAGTTTGCTGATGTGACATGATATTTTTAGCATTGAAATACTAATTGTCGTTTTGCTCTTATATGCACTAAATGATAAAATACTAAATAATGTATATTTATTAAATCGTTTATCTTGACTGACTATCAACTCGAAACTAAAACTATTAAGTAAACTGTTTTTATACTGTAAGTAGATGCTAATGACATGATGCGTGCAAAATTTTCAGTTTTATTGTAGAATATTTTATAAAGAAGACATTAATGATTTCATTTTTATATAAAGAAGAAAAAAAAAACTTCTATAGATGTTTTTTATTAATAGTGATTCAACGCATATTAGTTAATTAATAAAATTATTAAATTTCCCAAGGAAGAGGTTCTCAATTCGGTTCCATGTATTATTTGTATTTTTTAATGTTTATTACCTCTTAATACCGTCAATTATAAATTGATTAAGAAAACATATTTTCTTATTTAAAAAATATACCTTTATATTTTTCCCATAGATATTATATCTAAGTTGGTTCAATAGTATAGTATAGTTATTAAATCAAAATAATTGGGTATGTCACGATTGAAGAAATTTATAATAATTATTGCAATTGTAAAAATATGTTATAATTTTTCTCCTTCTCACTCGATAAAATCCACAACTGGTCTTTTTATATTATATCTTTTTAAATTTTTATCTGGAAAACATGTTTTTTACTGTCCATACTTTTTCATGCATATTATTGTAAATTTTTCGTTTAAAACGAATAGATAATTTCGGTTGACAGAAGAAAATTAATTTATTGGTTGGTACAGGAACACAGTTTGATGAATAAAAAATATTTTCCCTACGGGATGAGACGAAGGACGAATACCTAAGGGACAAGTCGAAAAGATTGATGGAATTTGTGAAGGATGACATCATAAGAGGAGAATGAAAGCAAAATTAGGGTCTGATTCATCGGCGTAGTATATGTTTCTTCCTATTTCGTTCATTTCGTTTTGACTGTTGGGGTTGACAATAGGATACGATTTTTTATTTATTGTTTATTTTATTTATTTATTTTTGATCTTACTCTTTTAATAATATTGTAAAGAGGAAAATAATGATTTTACATTTGTAGTGAATATACTTGAAAATATCAACGAGTAACATGAGCTTAATTTTAATAAAAAAAAATTGTTTGAAGCCGGGAAGGATTAAATTAAAAATATACCTGTATATACATGTATATTTATTTATATATGTATTTATCTAAGTAAGTTAAAGTGCACATTTACTCATATATATTCATATTACTGTATGTGTTATATTTTTATATATATACTTAAAAATTAACAGAATTTAATCATGCCCCTAACCAGTTTATAATAACTCCCCTTCATTCAAAGGTTACCTGGAAGAAATTGCTTTTAGCAATAAAGCTGTCTATTATATTTTCAGTGTGATCTATTCTTGTAGTTATTTCTGTTTATAATAAGTTTACTACTATAATATTTTAGAGGGAATAGTGAAAAGTATACCGTCTGGTTCAGACATAGAATGGGATACCCTTTTCTCGTGGGTGTCATAAGAGGTGACTAAGAGAACTTAATGGTCGAAAGATAGGCAGCTAAAATCTAGCTGCGGTTGCCCACATGCGTGCCAAGCGTGGCAACTATTACAAAACAATATACAACACCCCTCTAAAGGGGAAGGCTTATGTTCAGTAGTGGACAGTTAACGGCTGATATAATGATGATGATGATGACGAATAAAAAGTAATAAATACTCTTCTATGAACCGTAATTATTTTGAATTAATCTATAATTATAACAGGTCTCGGCCTAGTTCGGTGGCTAGTAGATCTAATTAAATATATGTAATTTATTATTCAACAAAGGTAGTTATTATTATTATTATTACAGTTGGTCGCTCGGTTTTACACTTATATTTTTATTACTACGATTTTTGACATTTTCTTTCATGAAAACTTTGTCGTGACAAATACAAATACAACAAGAATAGAATTAGCCAAATAGTGATGCGTTTACACATATTTGGCTATATAGATTATAATAATTATAATTATGTATTAATTTATAATTCTTTAATAGGCCTAATTTCATTTATACCTCTTTAGCCGTTTGTGCGTCTTTGGGCAACTAATGCCTGAACACCTTTCTTAGAATTCTATGAGGTGAAAATTTTAAAATATTTGTAATAAAATATATGAATAGGATTTTTTTTATCGTTCTTGTTTGGTATAAATATTTTATTATTGTTGGCACGTGGAAAAAATATATTATAGTACGTAAATATCATTAAACGATGAATGATGGTGATCGATTAATTATTCAGCCTGTTGTTTAATATCTTAAAAGTAGCAAATACGGAAAAACATGTTTATGAATTAGAGTCATTAGAATATATATTTAATTTATTTTTATGTTAAAGAGTTTGTCACAAATTTGTTATTGTTATTTAATAATACAGTGACAATGATCGATGAAAATATAGTACGTAGTAAATATTTAAAAATAAAACAGTTCTAAGTTATTGATTCTTAAATGTTTTTTTTTAATAAAGGATGTTAATAAATCGCATGAACTTATAACCTTTTTTTTTAATACATATACAAACAATAAACGAGACAAACTTAATGTCTTTATTAATTATTGTTTATATTAATTAATAAAAAAAAACTAGTTTTTGTTTCATAATCATCATCATATCTGCTGTAAACTGTCCACTGCTGAACATGAGCCTCTTCCGTTAAGGGGTTTTTTAGTAGTTTTTGCCACGCTTGGCAGGTGCATTGGCAACTGCAGTTAGGGGTTTGGCAATGTTTTAAAAGGGACGCTACTGCCCATCCCTCGACCTTTAAGTTCCCTTAAGTGACTCTTACGCCGTCCACAGAAACGAAATTTTTGTTTGAAAATTAATTAATAACATTTTTTCGTAAAATAATTTAAAGTTTTTACACAATAACTTAGATCAACGTCCATAGATATAATTTTTTAAGTATATTATACTTTATGGATGATATCTAAAGTGATTGAAAGAGGGTCCATTATTTTTGCAGTATCCTCGCTTAATGTTCACGAGGGGACCATTTGTATGAGATTTTATTTTAAGACTTTGCGAGATCAACAGACAATGGGATCGACATTGAAATATCATTCTTTACAAATCTTCCTCTAAATTCTGTAATGTGAGCCATTATTTTAATAAAGAGCAATTCAGAACGCATTAGGTTACACAAATTTAATTAATAAAAGAATTTGTTCCACAAAAAACTTTTTTCTAATTGATTTCACGTTAATTTTATATGAAATATATTATTAATTTTCTTTTGATGAAATTAGTATGTTGTACATTACTTAATCCGGTTATTTTTGCAGGTACATTTATATATAGTTGTAGCCTTATTAATAATAAAATCCAATACAATATTAAATAATCCAGGACTAAATAAAATAAGAGTGTGACAATTGATCGTAAACTTTCTAAATCGTCCACTATATAAAATTTTAAACGGCAATAATAAATTAAAGAATAACAAAAGGCTAAGACAAATTGTTTTTTTGTTATTTGATATTTATTATGTTCAGTGTGTTATTTTGACATAAGCGAGATATTTTCGATCTTTGTCAACCTGGATTGCTTTTGTTATTAAAATTTTTTAACTTCATTTTCTTTCTTCATACTGATTGACATAATTTACAGCGTAAACATTCAAACTTAATTTCTGCTAAGAATTACAGTTACTATGAAGAATTGATTTCTCGATTCCTACAAATATTTGTGCTATGAAAACACTTTCAAGGATATCGTAAGGTCAAGGTCAATAGCAATTAATAAACCAAGTGATATTATCCGCGAAACTGAACAACTTGCTCGAAGGAACACAGTAGAAATTATAAAATATATTTTAAATTTATTTCAAATTTGATAAAAAGTTTAAAAAATATTTTGTTGATTCAACTAAGTTCTTTTGAGGAAAATTGTTTTAGTGAATACTAACTGGGCTGTGACATTATATACCCATTACTGTCAACTTTGTACATAGATAAGTTAAATTTCAGCGCCCATTAACTTAGTCCAGAAACGGTTAAATGACTATAATGACTGGGACTGTTTAAGTATATTTCTAAGTGTATTATTGCCAGGTTAGCATTTTATTACAAAGCAATATTGAAAATTGTAAATATTATTACGTATAACCAAGAGATATCTAAGTCGCTATTTACAAATAGGTATGTTTGTTGGCAAATAATAATTTATATAATTACGATAGACATGAGAATTGAGCGACGATGTCAATCATTTTTGTCAATCAAAAATCATATTCAAAAACAACTTTTCCGACTATTGTAGTTAAAAGTATAATAAATGCAATAGTATTAAAGTTAAAATAAAATGAAATTGAATTAAATTAGAGCCTATATCTTTTAAAGCTTTTTTAAAAGTAAAAAAAATATTACCTTGGAAATATCTACTTGAGAAGAGAAACTATTCTTTACACCTAATTCTAAAAAAAAATATTTCGCTAAACGACGGAGTAATAAAAATAGTTTTTAAATTATTTACAATTACAATTAAAGTTAATGTAACTTTATTATAGTTAGGGTAAAGTGTGTATTAATATTTTTTTTTAAATAAATATGTCATAAAAATAGCTATATTAATTGAAGAAAAAGACAATACAATAAAAATAAGGCTGTAACTTTGTCATAAAGTGACAAACAAAATAATACTTACATCGTTATCGCAATAACTTCTTCGAAGAAAGTTTCTGCTAGACGCAAGCACTTATAAACTCACTTACACTAACCCAATAAAAACAAATGACCTTACTATTCCTTAAATATACTTAGTAATTGAATTGTTCCTTAAGTATAGTATGTATATTTTGATTATTTCAAAATTGTTAGTCCGTAATTTTTTTACGAATGTTCAATGCATTATCGTGAGGGGCGAGCGTCCGTCCGTTTTGGGAATGGTTCTGTCACTAACTGAAGGTTTCAGAGGTGCTGTCGCCGGGAACTTACGATGCACACGCGCATGGAAAGCGTAGTTTTATGTATATAGTACAGTTGTAGGTACTACAAGTAGTAGAATTTCGTAGTATATTCAAAATGTTGCCTTCGAATATTCCAAAACTCAATACACGTTTTTTACTTCAATCTATATGGATTCAATGAGAAATAGGCAATAGGATTCGCGCTCTGAGTTATTGAATTCTTATTTAATTAAACACCATTTTTGTAGGAGCCTTTTTTTGTCTTACAAAAAGTTTAGTTATAAGCAGGTAATATACGAAAATTCAGATCAGCAACGAGGTGAAAAGTAAAAAAAATAATAAGTTACTAGTTACGATATTTTATTTCAACAACATTACATTTATGGTAAATGCCCAACTCAACATACGACAGTAGTTATATGAAGAGACTAGTATAGCAAACTAGGGACTACGTATCTATAAGTACAATATATTTTTAAATTGATTAAAAAGGTAATGTATATATATTAAATACAAAAATAATTCGTTTGGATAATGTTTTATTAGAAACTATTATATATTATATAGAAACTAATATATTGCATTAATATAATAAGACATAATACAGAATTATGTCTTCGAAAGGACATTAATTCCGTTGCTAAATAACGTAATTATGTTTTTGATGCGATCTCATTTCTTTTTGTAGGTCATCCTCTTTATTTTCTCAGGTTGCTCGTCAGCTACAAGTACAATCAAAATGATGGTATGGCTGTACTCGACTGGGCGTGAATACTGTCTTATCTAATACGAAAACAACTTTGATGTCAGTTATTTTTGTGTAATAAATGATTGTGTTAACAAAATATTTTTTTTTAATCTTCATTAAATTTTAGATCATTATCGGATTAAAAACAATTATCGAAGTCGGTTTACTGATTAGTGAAAATATCACTTTACATAGACACATATACAAAAAAAAATATCGTATTGGGAATCTTCAGGAAGAATAAACGACTAGGGATAGAGTCACTTTGTTAAATTATGTATGATATTTTAAAAAGAAATAAAAACTATAAAATTATCATCAGTTAAGAAAAAAAGAACAAAATAAAATACAAACTCCGGCAAAATTCCGGAAAGCTGGCCTTTTTGCTTGAGCTTCCCTTTCAGGGCTCTTAATAAAATCCCAAAAGCCCCCATCGATAGGCGTATCACTAAAAGTGTTAGATATCTACCGGGGACTTAAGGATGTGATATTTTTTTCGATAAAGTCGATAATAAGATTTTTACAAATGTGATTTTATTTATTTATTTACACTTTATTACACTATTTATAAAAATAATAAATACAGTTAATTTTAATGAGAAGTGATTATTGCAAAAATCTTTTACGATTTCGATTCGCGTATATGTTAACCAATTTAAAAAAAGGAGGAGATCATTCGTCTTACTACGAAAAACTTAAACTTGCAATAGACGGGTTCAATACACGTTTATAGGAAAATACAAATACGTGTCTAATATCAGGTTAACAAAAGAAAGTTTGTCTTATTTAAAATAAAAAGTATTTAATTTTTATTATACTGAATCAAACAATATTTAATCACTTAAACACAGCTTGATAAACCCTGTTTAGATAAACAATTTTTTAAATACTGTTTTTTGTAGTAACGCTGTATAATGTTTGATTTTATGTCTGTTTATCGATTTCTCTATATTAATTTTGTAACTATTTGAGATGCTGCTTTTATTTGCGATAAAAAAAGAACCGAGTCAAAGCAAACGCTACTTAACGCTACGTAAAAACATTCCGCGTTCGAAGTTCAAATATTTTCAACCTTTTCACGAAATACTCAATTGAAGTTACTGTATCTTGTTCATAAAAATATATAATAAGTTCATTTTATTTTTATATATATTTTATTATATTAGTAGTATAATTGTTGGTAATTTTCAAATATTTTATATACATTGTAATAAAAAAAATTGCAATATAGTCTTTTAAAATGTAATTTCTACATTATGAATATTGTATTTCAGAAAAAAAAAATGTATTTGTACATTAGAAACGAAACAAAGATAATGTGCCAGCACAGAGGTTTAACCTAGTTTATTAATTGAAACATTAAATATCTTTATTATATCTTTCTTTACCGAGAAAAGTAATTTGTATCTACATGAATTAAATTAAATAAAGTCAATTTTGAATATTGTTATTTTAATTTCTTTCCTTAGGTTACAAAGCAATAAGTTATAATTCAGTTTTTATATTGAAAAAAGGCGTTCGTATTCATTTATACATTTATTGTCTTAGATTTAGATTATATAGATAAAGTGTCTACATACAAATGCTTCGAGAAAAGCGGGACAACTTTTTCGTACAATTTTGCGTGATTTCAAATAAATATCAGTAATTGCTTTATAATTTCTATGTTTATTTTCTCTTATAATTTCCGCATCTTTTTAATGCGCAAATACTCATTTTATTTTTCAAATGGTACGTCAAGATACATTGTACGCGTAAGTATAATGAATACTGATAAAAGAAACGAGTTAGCTAATTTGACAATTAACTAACAAAAAGTTGATTCATTTTTGAAGCTCGATGCCTTATCTATATAATTTAAAGTCTTAGATCATTATGACTTAGCAGTGCTTAGGTACTTATGTATGACTATTTAAGTTATCTATACCATAGAGAAGAGAATATTTTATATTTATATAAAATATTTTGTAATTATGTTGATAACATTATTATTACGTCCTGCAATTTAGAGTTTTATCATTATGATCATCTCATGTTACATGTGGTCCCGGCATAGAATAGGCCACCCCTTCCTTTCTTGAGTGTGTCGTAAGAGGCGACTGAGGAAGCTTATGGTGTAGGGATGGGCAGCAGCATTTCTCTTAAAACATTTTCAAAGCCTAACTGCGGTTGGCAATCCGCTTGTCAAGCGTGGTAATTATCGGCAAACCCCCCAATAACAGGAGACTAATACCTTATGCGTTGCTGCCTATTTCTCGATTATTAAATTTAGTTAGTCATCTCTTACGACACCCACGAGAAAGGACGGGTAACTTATTCTATGCCGAGACCACACGGTACAGAATGGACCACCTGAGTTACGTCATAAGTTTTTTGAAATTTATCATTTTTATTTTTATAAGTAAAACCTTCTGCTATTTCCATAGGTTTTTATTTTTTACTTAATACTCGTATGTAAAATTATTGCATTTTTTTGTAGAACATAACGTTCTCATACATTCTACGAGCATAATACGAGTGGTTGACGTGTTCATTAAACGTCATCACGGCGATTCGAGAGCACAATAAGATCTAATTAAATTCATAGGCTTCATTTAATAAGATATAATTAATGATAAATTATCTTGCTATTTGCTCAGACTAATGATGTTAGGATCATTATGGCATTGAGGGATAAGCTTTTTTGACGTGAATCTAATAGAAATGTTATGATGGATAAGCGTATTAATCATTATAAGACGAAGCTACAAATGAAGAAGTCGTTTAATTAAATCAGCAGTTATAAATGTTAAAGTTTGTTTGTAAAAATTTTAAACTTTTACATTATTTACAGATATTTAAATTCACTACATGCGAATATAGGTATATATATATATATATATATATATATATATATATATATATATATATATATATATATATACGAGTATAGTATCACTAAGTACACGCATGATACTATATGCGTGAAGTGAATGTGTTCGTGTGTGTTTGTGTGCGTGTACCTGAGCGTATGCGTGTACGTGTACGTGTACGTCTACGAGCACTTCGTCATAGTCGTAGAATACTGACGGACCTGACAAAGATTACATATAAAGATCCGTCACTATTCTACGACTTTGACGACTTGTGAGAGTCTCTGTGGGTGTGCGTACCCACGGGATTGCGCGTGCTTGCGTGTGTGTTAAAAATGTTAAAACCACCCCAACACTTGGATTTTTCACAATCAGCTCTTTAACGTAAAAAAAAACATTTTTTTTGTACAAATTTCGATAATTACCTTAATTACGTGTATATATAATTTTTGCTCATTTTGAGTTGCCCATATTCTATTTGTGTATATTTTGGGTTACGCGATACCTTTACCACTTATAAGATAATTTTGATAATTCTTTTTGCAAGCGGAATAATTCACTCTCGTGTTGGTTCCACGTTAATTTTGTCATGACTGCAGGTATTGTCATTGCGATATAGAAATGCAAAATATTAAACTATTAGAAATTTTTATGTAAATAATGGTCATGAAACATGATATATGTGTAGTAAATTTACACCTCTGTTTCTCGGAGTCGGAATTCACTGCAACATATCACTTCTGGCATTGAGTGATGAAACCTGTTCAGACGGCAGTCGTTCCTCTGGGGACACGAGGAGAAACGATTGCTGTCTTGGAACTAGCAACGAATTTATCATGGAGATGTCTTAAATATTTTATTTATAATTTTTGTTTTATGAAACTTAGAATAGCAAACAAGGCAAAAACGAATAACGGAAAGTGGTGATGGTCACCTAGACTTGAACAGTATCATGGATCTTTAACGTCCATAGAAGCACTTATGCATTGATACTTCTAAAAATTAATAATAGTAAAATATGCTGTTGCTCTGTACTTTATAATTTTATTTCTGATTATTTTTAAAAAAATATATATATAGTTACATAAATATAAATACCAGAGCCACTGAAGGATTTTATTACCTTGGTAGTTTTTCTTAATGGGTGATAATAGAATGGTAACCCTGCCTGTGCTAACGGTATTACACTGGCGGGGCACCAGTGAGGAATTATAGGTAAAAATGAAAAACGTCAGTTAGCCAATTGTGATGAATATACTTGAAATTCAGCACGATGGTTTCTAGGGGAACCACATGGAGATCGACCTGACAGGGTATATTGCTAGCAATGGGATTCTAGTCCGCATTACTAACAATTCCTTCCTTCTATTGCCTTGATGGTAAAGCGGTTTAACATATTCTTATCTTCCAATTCTTGCGGGTTAGATTCC